AGAATATAATAATTATAAGTAATTTCTGCCTTCTCTGAGTGATCTGTAGATGGTATTTAGTTGTTCAACACCGGAAGATTACTGAAATTATCTCGTATAATGTTCCTCTATTAGCCAGGTAAGAGCTGCATGTAATCCTTACAGAACAGCTGAATAAGCAATAAAAAAGTGCTTATTGAATATCTATAGAAATGTATTTTACAATTAACGAGTCTAAGATGATCAAATGCAGCAGCTGATTGATTAGTATGTAGAATATTGTTATATTAAACAGCATTTCATCGCATTTTATGTGATCTATAATGATGTTAAGTTCGCATGATACCTTCATCAGCAGCTGTCTGATCTTTTTATTCTAACTATGAATGCTGCTGTCACAGTAAGCCGCCAGCAGCAGATGCTGAGATGCCACTACAGAAAAGGCAGTCACCACAAGATGGCAGCGCCCACATACCGGCATTAGGGATTCGTCTATATCTTCTATCCAAAAATACTGATATTAATATGGATCACTTAACCCTTATGTGGGTCAAATCTTTGGGGTGAGGGCGTCCAAGTCTGAGAGACGTCTGTCCAACAATGCAGCCGGCTTACTGGCCGAGCTGGGTGTGTTATTACAGATCAGCCGGCACAACGGAGCTTGAATCAGCAGAATACCAAAATGGATGAATGAATGTGTTTTCATCTGCGGTCATGCTTCAGCTGAGGTATCAAGAATGTCTCATCTCATGTGATGGAAGACTGCGTGGCACAGCAGAAAGCTGCCATAACAGATACAGCTGGAGCAAAAAGGGACGATCAAGAGACTGAAGGAGTTCACCCATTCTGACTCCCAATGGATGAGGGACTGTAGTATTATCTCTATTTTGTGTAAAAAAAAAAATATCTGGCAATAAGGAAATTCTTATAGACACATCATTAACCATGAGTCAGCACTTTTTTTTATACTTATATTTATTTTTATACAGCTAGATAAATGTATACATAGTATACAAATACAAAAAACAATAATATAAAAAAACTGTACACGATTTAAAAGAAAGACAAAAACAAACTGTACAGCACCATCTTTTAGATAGTATGATTGGACCCTCTGAACCAAAACCAACTGGAAATTGAGACAAAAATATGAAAATAAAAATGAATTGAAGGAAGTGTTAGCAGTGTCAGTCAGTTTTAATGGTGAGGCTACATTGTAATAAACACAAGATACTTGTGCTCTAAAGACAGGGTAAACCTAGATGAGCAAAATTCCCACATGCACACGTCTTGACATTATTTAACAACCAGCTGTTCTTGTCCCATGTGAAAGAAAAAGTAATTCATGTAGTTTTGGTGCCTAAGCTATAGCCTATGAAGAAATGAATATTGCCACCATTATCCATCTGTTATGTAAGCCACTTATCCTGTTCAGGGTTGCGTGGGGCTGGAGCCGATCCCAGCGGTCATTTGGCACTGGTACAACCTGGACTGGTCCCCAGTCAATCACAGAGCAGACATATACAGACAAGCAACCAGTCACACTCACAATCACAACTTTGGGCAATTACGAGTCCCTATTAGCCTAACGAGCGTGTTTTTGGACTGTGGGAGGAAGCTGGAGAACCCGGGTGGGACAAATGCATGGGGAGAACATGCAAACTCCACACAGGAAGGTTCCTGTCCCACTCATAACAGAACCCCTTCTTACTGTGAGGTGACTAACCACAGCACCAACATGCAGCACAACCACCAGGGAGTTCATTTTTTCCCCAAGTTCTTTGTTATAGCCTTCAGATTGGTCTTTTGCCATCACCAACAATCTTAGTCTTAAAAAATCTTAGTCAAAAATCAAGCTATTAATCCTGGTTGGCCATAACTTTTTATATAATCACAGGTAACCACTTCCTAAAGCCTTCCCTGCTTTGTCATGTATTTGGCGCTTCATCATGTTAATTTGAAGAAGACTCTTAACTAGAGATTCAGACCAACGCATTTGGAAATATTTACTAAGCCAATAAATCAAGAAAGAAGTTGGCTCCTTGTCTCATAAACCTTCATCCAATCAAATTTATGTGTGCAACCAATAGAGGCCCCCCCCTTGCTGGCAGTAAGACATAATGCAGGTCTGCATGCTACACTAATGAAACTGCAACCATTTCACAACCTTCAACACTTGTTGGTAAACGTGTTAAATTGTTGCAGTTTAATTAAATCTAGGCACCAATTAGGTTCACTCTGACACAACACAGCAGTTTTGCCAATGCGGCAATACCATCAAGTATCAACCCAGTTTAAAGGGGGAGTCTATCTCCTATGATGTCTTATCCATTCCAGTTGTTTATTGATTAACTTTGACATTGGTAGTGTTTACTTTTAATCTCAAAGATGTTGAAATCCTTCTCTTTAATACATTTCTGCCTGCTCTATTGTTGAAAATGGCAAATTTATAAAATACTGAGTCCAGACAGGCGCCTTCACACTTTAGAAACTTAGGGTGTGACAACAAAACTGGATTCTTACCAAATCTTTTTAGGACTGCTGATACATTTTCTACTTATCTTCACACATTTTCAGCTGTGCTGGAAATGCAGTAACAGTCATCCAAAGAAAACAAACCCTGTTCCATCAACACAATTGGAAGCCAGGAAAGAAAAAATGTACTAATATGTGTTTGGTAACTGATTGTGTTTTAGGGTGGATTCTTACTTAATATCATAATGTGTGCCAGTGAAAACATTAGGCGTAACACTAAAACAATGACCAAATGCTGGAGCAGCGCAGCAATAGACTGACATGATCTTGGAGTTTCCCAAAAAATTGAACCTGCATTGTGTCTCCATTTAAAGGGATACTTCAGATTTTGTCAGTGGGGTTGTATCAGGTACTTGTCAAGTGTATTCGCCACAGGAAGCTGGTGAGCTCGGCTATATCGCTGCAGACAGGGCCAATGTTACCTTGTTAATTAAGCCAATTTGAAGTAAAAACCCAAACCTTAATAAATAATGACGACTCAAAAGTTTGCTTAAGAGGATACTTATATGGACCAGAGTGCACAGAGGAAAAACTTCTTTAGATGGAGACTCAACAGGTCCCATAGAGAGAGAGGGGTGGAACTGGAGATTTCCTGATGGTGCAGGTGTATAAACTGTGAGCCCATGTGCATGGACCCAGAGAGCTATGAGTTGGAAAAAAACTTCAGGACCTTATCTGAATCAGAGGATACCAGCGGCTCACACGGGCCTGCAGTCGGCATCACTCAACATCCAGAGCTCCCTGCTGTACTGAATGCTGAATTTTACTGACCTTCAAAATGTTCTAATAAAATTGGAAAACCAGTAAAGCATAATGGAAATTTGTCTTCAGAGTAATTTATTTTAATGCGTTATGACACAACCCGGCTGAGCTATATTAACAAACCCTACATGAGGCCCCGGCAGCCTAGTGGTTAATGTGCAAGCCCCATGTACGGTATGGGGGCTATAGACCTCCAAGCTAAATTAGATTGGCTCCATCTGCAGTGATATATAGCCTAGCTTTTGAGTTTCTAAATAAAGGGGTCTAACTGACCTGACATCTCCTGTGGCTAATACACATACTATTGAGGTGTAAAACATACAACCTCACTTCAAGAAATACACAACTTCAGGTCATGAAGCAGCTGAGCAGCAGAAAGACAGAACCATGTGCAGGATGAGAAAATACTACAATCAAACATGCATTTTACCCAAAGCAGAATATGATGTTAAATTGTCATTTGAGCACTCCCTTATGAACACTCACTTCTTGTGTTCATGGAGCTGTGATAAACACTTATGACCAACATCTGAAAAGGATTATTATCATTATTATTGCTAATCAGGTACTGTTAACCTGCTGAAAAAGCACATAGTATGAAGGGAAGCCATTGATGCTTTTGGAGTGTTTTGAAAATTCTCCTTTTTTAACAGACAACAAATTCTTCATGATTGCTCAGACTACAAAACAGTGGATCTTTTAAATGTCCCAAAATAATAGTTCCTTGAGCCCAGAAATATGTCCTCAGGTCCCTTGTGTTTCCTGACAACAATCCAAATCCATCTGTTTGAACATTTAGTCCGTTACAAAAGAGGGACAAAAGCAGCTAATTTCGAGAATATGGAACAAGTGAAGTTAAACTGCATTAAACTATTAAAATCGTATACATGTTCATTAAAAACACAAGCAATAAATTCATTATCTGAATGACCTAATGGGTTGATTAGTTGATTTTCCCCATCTTAACAGCCATCTCTTGGGCTTCGAGGAGATGAGTTTTGATAAGCAAAGACAACTTTTAAGACCATTGACGCACACAGTGCAAGTGAAATGGCAGTAAAAAAAAAAATACTTATTAAAATCTCAGCAACACTTTAAGGTACTGTAGGCAAGCCGGGATACAGCCTGTTACCGTAGCACCGAGGCTTCTTTGAAAGTAATAACTCTTTGGCAACATGGAACAAAAAGCTATATATGCTCAGTTTGGTTTTCACGGAACAGACATGCATGCATTATGATTGCACTGGAAAAAGTCTTAAAGGTCCCATATTATGCTTTTTCTGGTTTTATATGCTCTTTAGTGTGTTTTCCAAGTGTCCTGTGCATGTTTAGGCACATCTATATGCAAAAATTCAAAGTCCGCGGAAACGCGGCTTCTCCTACATCCTCCTGTTAGCTTTAGCATTAGCTGCATGTTACGCTCGGTTCTAGCCCCCTCCATAAAAATTTGTCAGTGCGGCGTCATTGTCAGTGAGATCACTGATCTAAGTCCATTGGCTCGTTGTGTTGAGCCCAGCAGCTCATGTTGAAATTTCCGAGACTCGTGCTGAGCAACTGACCAATAACGACAGAGCGGATCGGCAGACCAATCAGAGCAGACTTGGCCCACGTGGGGTCTAACAGTGTGGGCTCAGCAGAGTGTAGCTGACGGACTCAGAGCGTAGAGGGAGCAAGGAGGAGCAGTACATGAAAACAGACACTTTTTTAGAACTTTATCTATTGTGAACGTACAAAAGTAGGAACATAGATTAAATATATGAACCCCAAAAAGGGCAGAATATGGGCTCTTTAAGTACATTCACTACAGAGTATTCTCACATCTTACCTCTGAGTACACTTATTTTCCTCCTATAAAAACATACTCTTCATCTTTTTGGTCTGGGGTAATAGTAAGAATTATTTGATACTGGTGAAATTCTTCAAGATCGTATGCATAGCATGTATTGCAGCTGCAGGTAGAGAAGCTTGTAAAGCTATTTGTCAAGATGAAATACTCAGACCAGCAGCTGGCTTTGTTTTCTACATCTGGCAACAGCCATTGCAATGTATACAAAGTATGGAAAGAAAAGAAAAAAGGTGAAGAAACAGTTTGAACCTGTAGAAATAATACAGTACTGTGTTTCACATTTTGATATAGTGAAATAAGACAAATTTAATTTCACTGGTGAGATAACTGCACAGTGTTTCTGCAGAGTTCTGCAAAACTTAACCTGTTTGTTCAGGACTTGTATGTGTCTTTGTTGGTTCCTCTGATCCCATGCATGTAACTACACCAACACGTTATGTTTCTGAGCAGTCTGTGTCTCTGCCCCTTTCTCCTCTTTCACTCTCTGTATGCTCAGACCCCGTGTCATCTCTTCTGGTAGAGGTAGACAGTTAAAACCTGCTGCAGAGGGACCGACTGTTTCTGTCTTCTTTTCGCTCATCTTGAATGATGCCTGTCTCTTCTAACATCGGAAGAAGACCCTCTCTGTCTCCTCTTCTTTCTTTCTTTATCGCAGCAGACGCCCCGTCAGGAGCAGTAAGGCTGCTTTTGAGACTATTTCTACTCAACGCAGCCTTGAAATCCTTATCATGCTGATTAGAGCTTAAGGTTCATGTCAATACATCGACTTGACTGACAAAAGAAGTCCTCAGGCTGTGTCTTACCAGCTCTAACATGGCCTCAGGTTACAGAGGTCCAGTTCCTGAGGCTTCCTTCTTCCAGCACAATGGTCTCTAGGTAGATTCAGGCCGTTGTCAGTCATGCAGCGCACCGGCCGCCTTTTAAAGCCCCTTCCACAGGACTTGGAGCAGTGTGACCAGGCGCCCACATCCCACATGGGGCAGGGATCCCCACACGCTCTCACTGCTGCAGGCCTGTCAGTGTTGTCACAGTCTTCTGCAGGACGCCCCTCCATGCTCTGGCACTGCACCAGCCTCTTCTGCAGACCGGTCCCACACGACACAGAGCATGAATCCCAGCCCCCTGTCACCCAGTGGCTGACCGGCCTCTTACCCATCATCTGCTTCTTCGCTTCGACCCTGTTACTGTCCGATAAGACGCTGTTCTGTGCTGTGTGACTTCGCTCCTCTTTCTGCAGAGTCTTCTCCTCTTTGCTCTCCTTGGCGATGTAGAAGGAGTAACGTACCCTGGGAGGAGTCATCTTCCCCACAGACAGCACCTCCACAGTCAGAGGCTCCTGCAGGGGTCTGGTGGCCTGAAGAATCTCCACAGAGCTGGAGGTGCCGCTGTAGCGCAGCAAGCTTCCCTTAACCAGCAGGTCGCGCTCCACGGCTGACACCACATAGTTACCGTTCAGTAGGTACTTGCCATGTCGATTCTTCACTGCCAGGTAGTTTTCATCACTGACCATTCCTCTGTAGCCGCGTTGACGGATATCAACATTAGAAGCTCCGACTGGAAGCATCACCACAAAGTTGTAGCCATGACTGAAAGGAAAGGGAGGACATATACAGCATTAATGATGCTGGAAGGGCAATACAAATTCCAGCAAGAGTGATAGAAATGTACACTTGAAGTGCATGACATGTATTAAGATTAATCGCCTTTTTAGACAGGATAGAGGTTGATAGGAGAAAGGAGATGGCTATGAAGTGGAAAACAGATCACCTGTTGGAATCAAACCAGCAACATACAGGATGCAACATTTCTACATCAGGGTCTCCAACATGTTGTACATAGCTCACTACTCAGCTACTCATAGTTTCAGTAGTTTGCTAAGAGGTTTAAAGACTGTTTGTCAAAAATCCATTGACTATTGAAAGCCTATTTTCAATTCAATCAAATACACAGACACCCCCCCCCCCCAATACAACATATCAGATGTCAATAAAAAGCTGATGCTACTGTCAAGTTTGTCAATGCTTGAACATAACCGCTCACGTAGCAGCACTAACACTTCCCATTCAGTTACTGTATTCTATACGCTTTCTAAGCTAAAGTGAGTTGTTCAGTGCTATTAGTAAAGCCTGTTTAGACTGGATTCTGACAAACAATGAATGTGGCCATGCCGAGAAAAAGCAAGAGGAGTGGGAAAATTGCTCTAAATTTCAGGGCTGTAAAGGGATGGTGAAGGGATCGATGACCGCAGATGCAAAGTTATTGTCCTGGCACTGCCTTGGGCTTTGAAGCAAAACATGAAATTGATTTAGAAATTTTGACTCGGGAAGCCCTTCAGAGACATACTAACTGTAAATAACTTCTTTAACCTTCATGTCTCCTGGCACTTGAGTTGTACTAACAAGTGTCACAGTACTTACATTGGTTTGGTGAACAGTCCTGAGACCTTCTTGCAGCCCTGGTTGTCCCCGCCACATACACCGCACTTATCAAACTTCCTATTAGAGTCGAGCTTGCCATCGCAGCCAGCCTTGATGCATTTTCCTTGAACACATACGGCCGAGGTGTCAGGAGAGCAGGGCGTCCCGTCCACAACCTGCAGAGTCAAGAGACATTACATCATGCAGGAACAACAGGGAGAAGCAAAGCACAAGACAGAAACTTTTGGCCCATATATGTTCCACCAATTTACAAACTTCATTCTTCTGACTAAACAAACACAAGAAGCCAAAGAGCTACATAAACAGAGAGTCAAAGCTGCACCACAGGGAGTGTACAGTGTCCTTCAGTGTAAACGAGATGTTGGCTTGCGTTGCTCTTACAAGATTGTTTCCTCTCTCGTTGCATAAATAGTTGCTGACAAGCCACAGCTGTGAAGGGATGCTTTCCCTGCATGTTTCCCTGTCTCTCCACTCCATCAATCCTCCAGCAGCAGCCGCTTTCTCTAGTGCCAACAACAAATCTCCTTTTTACTGAATGACACATCTCGTCTAAGGGTCAAACTATACCAGGTTAGACTCCAAATTCAGAAACCCTTTTCAAACACAGGTCTGCTTCATATTTTTACCTACATGTTTAAACCACACCTCCCATGAGGTTTGAACTCATGATGAGGTGTTCAGTGACAACAAGTTCACGTTGCATTAGCGAGTATAAGACTTGATACCCATTAAGCTCAGAATAATAACACAGTTCCCAATTGGTATGCCTAAGCTTTCTAGACAGATCTAAGTGTGGCAGTACTTTGGTTTTGTATTCACAGCAGAGTAATGAAAGCTGACAGCACTGCTCCATATACACTCTACAGGCTGCAACCACATTTGCACTAAAGCTAGCAATTATCGGCCCTCAAATCAGCCTCCAGATGGTTGGGTAATTACGTTTTGCTGGTAAGGTTGGAGCAGTCAATATGTCATTTGCCTAGAACTTTTCGGAACTCATCAGAGTTTCTCTAATAACACAGTGTTCCCAATCACTTCTCTAATGAATTTCATTTAGAAATGAAGCAAAGTGGGCCATTGATTCAAACAGTTGCAATAATAGTGTGAAGAAAAAAAAGAATAAATCAGCTAAATACCTTTGGAGCGAGGACATAGAAGTATCCAGTCCCGTTGGCGCGGCAGATGAGCTTACATTTGTCTTTGGGAGAGATGCCTGAATATTTGGGAACCCAAACCACAGAGGATCCCAGTCTGTTGGTGTTCAGGTTCAGGCCATTGAACGCCTCACACTGCTCCTCACGGTAACTCTTACCTGTAAATGAAAAAAAATGTTATTTCCACTGTGCATGTCAGGCCTTTTATTTTTTATCAGCTCATGTGCAACAGACACCCAACACAAAAATCTTGGCCCTTGCTTACAGGTTCTGCATGTGCAGATATATGTTAACTGAAATAAAAGCGACTCAAAATTTTGGCCTTGGATGTAATACTTGGTTCAGCAACGACTGTAGGTAGAGTTTTTGTCATTCTAACAGTTGCACAATAAGGAGCCTACACTAGGTGAGATAGAGACACAGTTAATCTTTCTAAATAACTATACAAACCCTACAAACTTTATAAATATTAGAACACACGCTCTTAGTAGAGCCCCATGCTTTAACACTCAGACAAACCAGGTGTGCTGTACCCAGTAACAGATGTTGAGGTCTAATTGGGCAATAGCCTCCTTGGGGGAAAGGTGATCAATGACAATTATCACCCACAGGTCTTTTATGTTTGTATATACTGAGATAAAGAGTACCATACCTGTGTCAGCACAAGGGTTGAGGTTACAGGAGCGGTATTTGATTCGAAGGCCGTAGCAGTATTTGCCTCCATTCTCAGGTACAGGGTTGTTACACTCCCTCTTGGCCAGCTGAACTCCTCCACCACAGCTCCGGGAGCAGTCTCCAAATGCACCCCACTTCCCCCAGCGGCCATCCACCTTGAATCAAAAAAAGAAAATGCACTTTGGTAAACAAATTTGTATTCAAAAATAACCAAGCTGGAAAGGATGGTGAACTCTTTCCACACTCCCTCACCTGGGTGTGCATGGTGCTGTTCTTGTCTGAGCAGGCTCCTCGGTAGCAGACTTTTCCGTTTCCGCAGTTGGTGCCATCCGCCCAGGGGAAGTGTCGCGTCTGGCAGACCAGCTGACCGCGAGCTTTCCCGGTGCACCACAGCTTGGAGCAGGGCTGCATGTACGGGCAGGGCTTGGACCCCAGTCCGAAGGCGAGCTCACACTGGCGGTGCAGACTGTAGCTAGAACCAGGCAGGTTGTCTGAGAGGGACAGCTGCCTCTGAGGCTGATCCAGCAGACAGTCTCCTACAGAAACAAACCACAGACTTTAGAAAATGTGGAGGTAGTCTCAGTGATGTCACCCATTGGTTCCTAAAGAGGCATTATGAAGCCCAACTATAGCGGCTACCATATTGGAAACACTGACTTAACTTACAGTAACTTAAGCCAACTTAACTTGACATTTCTGTTGCTTTTTGCCCGCTCTAATAGCCTTTTTTAAACTTAGGAAACTTAAATCTGCAATCGTTTTCACAGGGGCCTTTAGAAATGGAAGATGCTGCTTGACGAAGAACACAGGGAGAACTTTCATGAGCTCTGCAGTTTCCCTAACAAAAAAAAACCCTCTTGGAAACATTCAGATTCAGATTACTGAACTTTAATATTCAATTCTTCCCCTTTTTGTCTTTTTACACTGTTTATGTTCAGTTATTGTTGCTTTTCTTAGTTATAAAAAGTGAACTATTCATTTGCTCTGAGCAGGACCAATCAGAACAAACCAGCGTGAGCCATAATACATCATGGCCATGAAGAGATTTTACAATAGATAATGTTCACCTCCTTTGCCTTTAGCTTTGGCAGCCACATGTTAATCAGCCATTGTGATTATAGTGGGCCAGCAGACGCCTTGAAGCCCTGCATGAGGGTTAATATTTCCCAGGGCTGTGTTTGATGTGACAATTTAAAAGAAAGGAGAGGGCCAGAAAAAAAACTTTGTTAGTTAAACACAATAAAGTATAAATGTGGAATGTTTGACCTCTTCCATGTTCAAACGGAGCAGACATTTTTAATCATAACAAAACAGTGCCAAGGTCTCTCTCTCTGTATTTTTTTCTTTCATGGATGCAATCAGATTACAACCAGCTGAGAGGCATGAAGTCTGGACAGAATTAGAGCTACGTCTGAATCCATGGACTCATACAGGACGTGTTTACTAACCGTGACCTCTGTCCAGGAACTCGGTAATGATGGCTGCGCTGCACACCGACCAGGGCCGGCTCCTGTCGATCTGAATCAGAGTGGGAGACATCATGTGGTTGTCCTTCAGTTTCCCGAAGACCTCCTCGCATGCTTTCACGTTGTCGTGGGGCATGTTGAAGACGTGGCCTGAGGGAGGGAGCGAGAGACAGAAGGTCACGGCTTTGTAAAGAGAAGAGTAACAGTAAAAGTAAGACCCGGATTAAAGAGAGAGCGAACAAAGAAAGTTAAGGAATCCATATACTAATGGAGGATAATTATAACTCAAAACAAGCTTCGATCAAAAACAAACAAAAGAAGATGATCTACATGTCAGAATCAAACATTTATAATTAAAAATGTGAACAGTAAAAACAAAATTTCAAAGTTTGGGTCCAAAAATGAGGGACGCATCGGTTAAACATCTGTATCGGCCCTGTTGACAAACATTGGCTCATCAGCAAATTAAGTGGTATGCATGCCAGTAGCCGATGTGTGTCTGTTGTTACAGACTAGTAACCCTAACTACTGATTTTGAGATCATTTTTATTGGCAGATAAAGTCAACTGTTTGGACAAACTCTAAATTTGTTTTCTAAAATGATACAAGACGTCGGCTATGTAGGAGTCTTTTATAAAGTCTCTGAGAATGATCAGGGACAAGCAATTTGTACGACATTTTAAGAGGAATGGCTTTTAGCACATAGCTCATTTAAAAACAAGCAAGAATTACAACAAATTAATGAAAAACATCATGAAATTAATCTGCTAAACTGTTATTTAAACATTTTTATCAGCCTTTGAGTTTCACAATTGGTAAATGGAAAATGGACTTGAGCTTGTAATGGAGCTTTTCCAGTCTTCAGACTACTCACAGTGCTTTTACACCACAGGTCACACCTACACATTCACACACTGATGGTAGAGGCTGCTTTGTAAAGTGGCCATCAGTATTAGCTATCCCATTCATACAGATTTATACGCCTAAAACGAGGAGCAACTCGTGGTTAAGCGTCTTGCCCAAGGACACATCAGACATGTGGCTACAGGAGATGGGGATCAAACCCACGACCAACTCTACCAATTGAGCCACAGCCGCCCCACATGTACCCGCATTCTTGCAACTCTAAAACAAACCCTTCTTTGAGAGAAGGTACTTCTTTTTCAATCACAGCACGGTTTAAAACTCAACGAGCTGTTGTTAAAATCCCTGGGAAGATAAAGTTAAGTGTCTACAGTAATTACCTTTTGCCAGACATCATTACAAACATGTATGTATAAGGCAAAGCGAGCTACACTTGGCCTGATTTAAGGCTGATGTCATAGCAGACAGGAATGTGCTCGAACATGGGAATATTCAGCGTGGCATACGTCCATGTTCTAAACCAGGCCTGACAGGAGAATGTAGTTCCCAGGGAAATCATTTCAGTCCCTAAAATAAGAACATGAAGTGCTTTCCAAAAGAAAGAAAATCTGTTTCAGAATTTTCAGTCATAAAATAGGACCGTTTAAAGGGGAAATTGTGTCATTACTTAACATGTGTATATATGTGGACGGCGTAAACCAATCCCTCCCGTGAGGCCTCATGAGTTACTTTTTCATCTGGTCTCAGGCATTAGCCTTGTTTCTTTCAGAGATGTCTCAACCACTGACGATCGAAAATCTGACAGAAAATCAGATTTGTCGTTATTAAGAGATTTAGGAGTGTGTTGGACTATATGCAGTATATCATGGCACATTCAATTTCATACAAAAAGCTGACAGGGAAGGATTCCCTTTGTTCAGCTTCTTTTTTCCTCACCTGACACACTGAAAGGGGTCATTTAAATCTGCTCTAAGGAGAGAAAAAACAACATCCATAACATCACACTGAATCTCAGTGTTGTTCAGGATTTTAGAAAATGTGTGTGTTGACTTTCATGAAAGGGGAGATGGAGTATCTGATATTTCTCTCGTGTCTGTTGATTAGATCACAAGCAAGCTGTAACCGTCTGATGATCGCCCATGTGGTGAGGAATTAGTCATTTTCAACCATTTAAAACTGAGCTTGAAGATATGAGGACTCTTAAGATCATATCTTTCCCACAGGTGACTGGAGATGCTGACTGTCTTGATGTGAAGACATCTGATTACAACATGCACTCAGGTAATACATCAAGATCGTGTTGTTTTTTGCTCAAATTAGCTGATACCCTTTGTTTTTCTCATCTCTCAAATCAATATATCTCTCTGTGAATGCAGGATATGCTGGCAAGGGACAACACTATCCACAGTTATATTGAGCAGGATTTGGTTACATGCAGGAAAAATAATCTGAGTCAGGGAAGATGGTGAAACAGATTGGCAAAAATGCAATCTAGGAGCACATCAAACCTTTTGTGCTCTAAAATGAACTTTTTATAGTTTCCCTAATGACATATCCCTGCATGTAAATATAGAAAACAATCAAGTTTGAGGCCACAAAACGTCTGATGATAGACATTGCGATGAGGAATTAGTCATTTTTAGCCACTTCAAACTCTGCTCTAGGCTATGAGGACTCTTTGAGGATGCAGATGCTGCATCATTTAGGTTTTTTAGTGAGACAGGATTTCTAACCAAGGACACATTTTGAGTCCTGCCTCATGTCACAGATAATCACTAACTAAAGTTACCTTGTTTTCACCATTTATGTCTTTTGTCCTTTCATGGGTAGGCGTCTTCATTGGTTGTTTTTGAGGAAGTTTTGAGTTGGAGTGAGTTTTCTAAAAAACACCCATCATAAAAGCCCATCATACCAGTACTTAAAGGGGAATTGTTTAGAACTTGGTCATTACTTTTACATATTTTAGGGTTCAATTAACTAATAAGTAGTGAACATCTTGAAATAGCTTCAATAGATTGCTTCAGCCAGAAGACGGGCTGTAATAGTTGCATCCTTTCAGGGCAAATGTGCCTGATCAAAGAACAACTAGCATGCGTTGGCCTCAACCTTGACCCTGAGACCTGCTGGTTTTGATTGTGCCCATCTGATGAGGGACTGATTTGCACACAAACAGGTGAATGCAATTTAATAGACAACCAGCAGTGCTCCGGGATCACAACTGAGAATCACAGACACAAGAGATCATAATGAAAAGTTTCAGAGCCCCCTGACCACAAACTTTTCCACACTGATGAGTCAGGTTCACATTAGTCAAATCGGACTTGATTGATTTTTAAAGTTAAGATTATATTCATCTATTTCCACCCAAGGCCACATGTGTGCCAGTGTGAATGTAAAGCAGGTAACATGGGGTATTCAAGCCCTGCTGATTAGAAAACATCTCCTCAAATCTCACAATCATTGGCATAACTTTCTTACCAAGTTCATGGGCCGTTGTGAAAGCTGAGGGCAATCCATCGTCTTCAATGACAGAGCAGCTCCTCTTCGGGTCACACATGGTCCCAACGTCTGCCATCCCCAGTGTGTCACAGGTCGTGGCCCCACAGAGATCCTGAAGACAACAATGAGATTAGTGATGTTATCTTTGAAACAACTTTCTCTTTAAATGAAGCTTCACAATATCTGATAGGGCTGAAGCTGTGATCCAGACAGGTTTTGTGTGTTGGATGCAGGGAGCTACAAACTGAACAAGCCATAAAGAGCACTAATGCAATGCACATGGGACTCTGGTTTGCTTGTTGCTGCACTGCTCTTAAAATATATTGGAGCTGAGGGTCAGAGGAGAAAGCCCACCACACACTTCCTCTTGGTGTTAAGTGGGAGAGGTAGATGAGTACCACCTGCAGCACAGGGCACAGGGTAAAGTTACACCATGAGGGCTTCGCTATAGTCTCCTCTTTACATGGGGGCGGCGACCCCCAGCTCCTGCAGCCACAGCTTGTGTCCTTGGGCAACCCCACGTTGTTCCTGCTGCTTCGTCGGCGGCTTTTAAGTGTGTATGAATGGGATTAGTTACTTCTGATAGTCACACAGCAGCTTCTGCCATCAGTGTGTGAATGGGTGAATCAGTAGGTGTGACATGTTTGAGTAGTCAGAAGACTAGAAAAGCACTATACAAGCTCAATTCCATTGGTGATGTGTTGGCTCTTGCTGACCATCTGTCTCCATTGTTGGGTTGTCGGAGTCATTAGGGGCTATGTGTTAAATATGTGACTGATCAGTAGGGCATAAGGGCATAACTGGGGGCAGGGGTTTCCTCACTTTCATTAGGAGGCATGTATTTTGTGTTTTATTTAAAATGCTATATCTCTAACTCTGTATACAAAAAACCTGTGAATGACGGCTCTAGATTGATGGATGACTTTTTACTTTTTCACTACTAAATCGTTTTGCCCTATAGACATTTTATGTCCTAATCACTTTCCTTATCCCCTTACTTTTCCTCTAGGGCCTCCAAGAGGTCCACTTTTTTTTTTTTTACAGAAATGTTCACCTTTAAGGCTTTCACACATGCACAAAACTCCTAAATTTTATGAAGTTGGCTGCAAGTGTGCAGGCAAACAGCCGAACCTTTTCTCTGACTTTACCCAAATTGTTTCCTGCTAGCTCTCTAAATTTGCCGCATGAAGTCAGGGTGAGCTGATGTGAGAACACATGAGGAAATATATACAGGAAAATTCAGCTCAAGCATGCAGGAGGTGTTGGTGACGTTTATCCTGGGACCAGAGCACAAGAGTGTATGCAAGCAAAAATTCTCATTATATCGTCAAACTCTGTTGCTTTTCCTGCCAATTCCACGCCGTTCTTCTTACATCATGTCGCTGATTAACATTCCACTAACTTTTAAGGCTACACTTAACGCAGGACTGTCCAATGACAAAGGGAGAGTGGAAAGTACGCACATTCAATGTCCTTTCATTTTGAGGATGTTTGCATGCTGGTATTAGCATTTAGCTCAAAACACCACTGTTTGGTGCAGGTTCAGGTCAGTCTTATACATATACAGAGGCTACAGTCCTTAACGCTTTAGCCCCAGGTCGAGTTCCCAGCCACGGCCCTTTCATGCATGTCCACCCCTCTCTCTCTCTTCATCACGTCACTCTTCAGCTGCTCTATCAATATCATCAAAAGGCCAACAAAATAAATGAGTAAAAGCCTTACAATCTACTAGCTTTGTGACTTTGGGTTTTGTTATTTTACATGACAGGGAGAGCTGTGAGACTTTCTGGAACTATTCATTATTATTGGAAGTATCTATTATTATGGGAACAGTAAATTGTTATCAGAAAAGACTCATTGATTAACAAGAATATTGTTGAAGCTTGATGAAAAGCTTTTTCTGTGCCTAAAACTATTTCTGTGTTTTATTATTTCTGGAATTTGTTTTATGTAATTAGATCAAAATGACTTTCCTGTGTGTTTGTAGTGACCAATGTAAATATGGACACATATTGGATGGTGAACTTGCAAACCCAGTCACACAATGAGGGCCCAGCGGTGCCAGAAGCTCCCTCTGCCAGCCATGTGTCTTCCCAAACACTTGCTCTCCATAACCTGTTACAAGGTTTTTTCCACCATAGCAGCTTCACTTATTGTGCCCCGCAAGGACGACAACATCCAACCTGGACTTTCCTACGTATAATTGTCCTCAGTGTAAATACAGGATTTTGTCTGGGCAGCCGGTTGGTTTTGACCTTGAAATGTTTGTGGCTGTTGCTATGCAGTGAAGGAGACAGGATGCGTATCGGATGGCTTAACTGGATCTAATGGAAAGCAGGCGACAGCGAGCGGGCATTGAGGAGAGAAGGGACATGGAAAGTTAATGATTATGGGGAAATATTTATCCCTCAGTGATCCAAGTTCTAGTAGCCACACTGGATTATCAGCCATGACTCGGCTGAAGGCTCCAGAAAGTCTCAGTTTACACGAGTTTGAATGAATGAACAGTAACACTGGAGTCTAATTGGATTCATAGAAACCTCTCGGATGATTAAAAGTAGGCATGTAGTGACTGAGCTCTGTTTAATCAGACAAGAGGTGAGGTGTTTCCTGGAAAGAAAAGACTAGGTGGCTCTTTTCCAGTGACTTACTAAAGTAAATGAGGGGGACTTGCAAAGCTTCGCAGTTCACAAGCTGCACCAGCCTGCTATTTCATTAAGGGATTGCTAAACTGGCATTCAGACTGCAAGCATCTGTAAAGCTGGGGAAGGCTTTTTGTTTTGGAAGCATTATTTTGTTAGACTTTTTCAAATGTTCATTATATCCTCCCAAAATTAAGCATCCTCAACAGAAAAAAAGATGGAAATCCTGTAGTTGTCACAGGTCTGTAATGAATCCGCCAAGTCATTTAGTTCTGACCAAATGGATTCTTCTCTTGTCTACCTAGATATCTGCCTAACTGCATGTGACCTGTGTGCAAATTGCATTTAAGTATTTGCACAAGAATTAAAGGACTGGTAGCCCTATATACTTATCAAACTCTCTCCTCTTTTGCTCGTGCAATCTGCATCCTTCCCTTCCTTTCTACTTACGGTCTTTCCTCCTCTCTGTTGGGTCCAGCCAAGGTCGGTTGTACCCAGATGTTACATGAGAAAGCAAACAGAAACAAGCAAACCCAATTCTCATAAAATTAAATAAATTGTCTGAACACATCTTGTTGATGGATAGTTAACAGTGACGGCTCTCCCTCTCCTGGGCTCTTCCTGCATCATAAGTAAGGCAGAGCACGTTCATGTGTTTAGGGGAGGGGTTTGGGCATCTTTCCAGTTGGATATTTTAAGGTCTAGCTTTACTCTTGCTGGTGTCTTTTGAACATCCTCATTTTGCTTTGGTCTTTAGGTAATATACTCTACAGCAACAAATGTTTTTTTCTTTTAATTGATTTTTTTCTTGCTTTGAATTGTATTTGCTGGATGTCTTATGTCTTATATGCATATAGAACCATACAGTGTTGTATTGTTGCTTCACCATTTTGTTAATAAACCCCCCTATAAATGTTCCTTTAATCTTTTTTTGAAATAGTTTTTTTCTGGTATAGGAAAGTCGATCAAGGCTTTAAAATTCCAATATACAAAAAAAAACAAAAAACAGGAACCTAGAAATGACATCATTTGGTCGTTTTTGTGTGTTTGAGAGTTTGAGAATTCACATTTACCTGCAAAGTTCTACTAGGAGAGAAAAATAGGATTTGTGTTGCTTTAGATAGAGAGGGATGGGGAGCTTTGTACAACTTTGCACAGAATGTCTCATAATCCGCCCCTGTACAGGTTGTGCATGTGTTTCTATCATTGTCTTTGCAACACCAATAAGATACACCACAGCTGGGTGTCTCTTCTCCCATGCTTACCTGTCTGGTGAACAGTATTGCAGTGTCCCAGTAGTCCTGGTGCTTGTCGTTGTGTTTATTTAACTTCTTCTGCCAGGAGCAGAAGTTGCGCAGAGTCAGAGCTGCATTACTGGAAACCTTTGGTCCCTTGTCAACTTCATTTATCACCATGAAGCCTACCACCACTATGTTTATTGAGTTGAGAATGCTGGGGTGCTTGTAAAGGCGGGCTGCTACTGACATCAGGGTCAGGAGGTAATGCTTTAGGTCATCCCCGTGAAATTTGGCCATAGATTCATCTGCCACCACCAGCACCTCCACAAACCTGGGGATGGAGGCGAACCTCTTGGACCTCCCCAAACTTTTCAACACAGTTTCAGTTAAGCTATCAATCTCAAGCTCGCTCATGTGTTTGTATTTCTCCAAGGACACGTTGAAGTTGGCGTCAGGTGTAACTCCGCACCTGCTGGTGAAGTTGCCGCTGGAGTGCGCAGCGCGTCTCCGGCGGCGGATCACATGTGTCCTGTCGAAAGAGTTTGCAAATCCAGACGCGGCAGCTCTGTCTTCAGTCCGGCTCAGGCCAATGAAATACTCCATGCCGTTATAGGAAAACCCACCGTGGAGACCTTTACACAAGCTGAGCGCTGCGTAAGAATCCAGATCTGCGTTGATATCGCCGGAGTAGAAGCAGTCCCTCAGGTCAGCTGCTGCAGAAGTGTTGAATGATGAGGAGCCGCTTTCAGGCAGAATGCTGCCCGGTGCGAGGAAGCTAGAATCCGGCGTGAGATGGAGGTAAAATTCCTGTCTGAACGCGCTTAACCTGAACACAATCTGTCTGTCATTCATCTGCTCCGCGCGCCGGTGCAGATGCTTCTCATGCTTCTGGTGATCCACACGAATAGGTATGCAGAAATCCACCTCCATGCAGTATGTCACCTTTAAATAAAGTAGGAATTTTGTAAGAACTACTAAAGAACTGATAAGTATAGCCATCTCGGCTCGTGCCCAGCAAAGTCCACTCTGTAATTCGGCTGAGTTTGCATGCGCTTTAAGAAGTTGTGCGCAATGGCACGGAGCGCCACTTGTGCGTCCTAAGGAAACTAAGCACCCGAGATGCCTTTCAGGTTCATTCCCATCTTGCACCGTTTCCACTCTGGTCACCGATTCCTCTGAGCTGCTGAGCTTTAAAGTCGCGCGTAAAACCCGACGATCTCTGACAAGTGAAATCTGGGTATGTGCGCATGAGATCGAGAGAGCTCATTGGTCATGCAATCTCAGTTTGAGCTGCACTTGTAACTCTCCAAATAGTGTTGTTGCTGTACATCATGTGTGACAGGAGCTGGAGCATCACCCCTCCCACCCAGCGCCCAGACTCACTCCGAGAAGGAATCACAGGGTGCAAACACACATTATGCAAAAGGAAACAGAGAAAGTGGTTACATTTGAGGATTTTTCACATTGATATCAAAATAATGCAACTGATACTGCAAGCCGTGAAGCTAAAGATGGACGATTTTTTTCTGCAAATTCTCAAAATATCTTGTGCCATTTCCACGTATTTCTTACTATTTATTTTACATAATACGTTTAAAAACACATTGGAAAGTTTCTCTTTATTACAAACGCAAACATTGTATTAGAAAAGTAATCGCAGAAATAAACTTTAACACAATGCCATTTCTGCAAATCATCATGCATAAGGAAAAGTTAAAGACAGTTGAAAATTGCAATGCAGGCATAGAGCGACACCTGTTTGAGCGAGAAGTCCACTGGAACGTCCGGGCAGCCAAACCGCATGAAGAAGTTTGTTTATACTGTATTGCCATCTTGTGGCTAAACATGTTAACTACAGCTTGGTAAACATCACCGTAGAAAGAACTTTCCTGGCATTCAAGGCTTAATAAACATTCTTACATGAAAACCGTGTGCTTGATCTTGTAAATCAGACGCGTAATTTAGGGGAAAAAAATCTCTGTAACAGAATGAAAACCATGTTTTGTAAGCAGGATGTGTTTGTGCAAGTAAGAAAAACATGAATTATATTTCTGTTAGTATTTTGAATTAAAAACATAGGTCGTATTTTGCCAGTATCCATTTGTATCGAAGAATGAATTAAAAGCACGAAGTGTGTTTTATTCCACATAAAGCCTGTTTGCTTATTCATAATGTTGCAAATATTAAAAGTTTAAATTGGTGAGTAATATGCAGTGAAACCCCGATTAAATGTTGATATTTTTCAAAAAGCTCTGCTGATGTAAATAAACGTTTCTCAGTGTGCAGGGCAGCAGTCAATTCCACGCACACACACAGCGCCTCTCTCCGTCCGGCGGTGCTCTTTTGTGCGGGGAATAAAGCATCTCGGCCTAGCGGGGCTCCGAGCTCTGTGGGGGCCTGTCACTCACACAGGGCTCCGAAATAACTCGAGTAGCGGACTTCCAGCTATGCGTAGTATAGATGTCCTGCCGCTGCATTATAACACTCCGGGTTAATAATAGGAGCGCGGTTGTCAAGCTTTTTTAGAAGGGGGGAGTGTCTGCCTATTCTCATTGGATCCGTTTTATCCGCGAGTGTCTCGTGAAGTGCGAGAGTGGGAGGAGAATTTCCAGCAACGCAGGATATCAAAAATAAACCCCCTCATGTCAGGGAAGAGCAGAAAGTATAAATACTCCCGAAGTGTCCAGACTGCAGCGGTGCTGGTGAGTGGCACAACAAGGCTTGGATAGATTAGAAACGACAACTCAAAACAGACTAAAGTTTAAAACTAGTCAAACTTCGATGACCCAGACTGGCTCTACAGCACTGAAATCACTTTCGATTTGTAAAGATTCAAGAGGACTCTCTTTTGATTGGAGACGACGCTCAACTTACCAAACAGATCAAGGACATATACTGAAATAAATTGTTTATTTTTGCGACTCTTGATTGCACTTCAAGTTGCAGAAGATGTGTTCCACTTTGTGTTGTTTCTTTTTATTCCTGTGCGTAATACACGCGACACTTTCCACGCCATTTGAATCAGAGGATGTTGTACCTGTGCGGATAAATGGAAGAATTAGAGGTCGCTTTTGGAAAAGAAGTGAGGAACAGCCGACATTTATTCTTAGCGCATTTGGCAAGGACATGACGATAAATCTCATTCCAGACACTAGTTTCATCGCACCTTCCTTCACCATACAGCGCATCAAAGCCAGTGATGTTGGCGCTTTACGCAGCGCTTCAGGTGTCCGACCTGCCGCGGCTCTCCAGGGTTTGATGAACCAGACAGTGGAGAGTGAAGGATATCTGAGGAGCTGCTTTTACTCCGGGAATGTGGATCATGATCAGAACTCGGTTGTGTCGGTCAGCTTGTGCTCGGGCATCTTTGGCTCCTTCATAACGGAGGGGAAAGAGTATTTAATTGAGCCCAAACTTCGAGGCGGTATGGGGCCAGACTCTGCAGAGCAGCTGCATGTCATCAAGAGGAGGACATTCACTAAAAGCCACGGTCTTCCCCTGCTGTTTGATCACGCGGCAGCGGAGAGCCGAGCAGATAAGCACAATGGGGAAAGTTTTACGCACACCGACAGTGACGCACGGAGGGAACCTCGCCGGAGACGCTTTGTTTCCGCGCCACGGTTCATAGAAACGCTGGTGGTGGCAGACTCAACCATGACCCACTTCTATGGAGATGAAATAAAGGTCAGACATGATGCACTCATTCTTTCCTGCACACACCGTTAATATATGAACCTAAACACACCATAGTTGAATTAAACTGATTAGACTGTCCCATAAACAAACTGCTGAAGACGTCACATTTTCCCCACTTTATTTTCCATAATCCTGTCTGCAAGGATTCACAGCTCAGAAAAAAATAGTCTCAGGAATTAGTTGTTCTATGCTGTTTCATAAAAACATGTTTTGGCATTGAGGGAGCTTGGGAGGAAGCCGGTGTGCTCCCTGTTTTCCACAGACTGAGAATAAGGTCAGGCAACAGAAATGCAAGAAATGCTGAGGCACATTCCTCAGGACTTGGTCACGATTTGGCAGCAGAGCCTCAGCATCATGCAGGGCAGATTCACAAGGCTTACAATATCCGTCCTATGCTGTATTTACTCAGAATGATGGACTTGGAAATTACATGGCTATTTCCTGCTATTCAATAGTTAAATTGAAGAAAAAAAATATATATATTGGTGTTGAATTTATAGAAATATATTTATTAATACCAATACTGCATTTATTCTGGAGCTAAAATTCCTTAACAACAGTAGACAGTCCATGATCCTGGCACAGCCTAGAGAAGTCAAATTCTTGTCTGTTTGTACTTAACAAGCTCTTCAGCTGCCAAACACTTCTTGATCCTACAGTAAGAAAAGAAAGACTAACAAATAAACAGAGGGAAGTGGACAAGCTGATACATTGGCTTCATTTCTGCTTTTATTCCAAGTCATATTCCCAATAATGTCCATCCATATGTTTCTTTTGTTTTCTGTGAACAGGGGCAGTTTTAGTGGTTTGGAGGTCCTAGGCTCAAACCAACATGTGTGTCTGTGTATGTGTGCAGAACATGTGGAAAAACTTTTTATATGTGGGAAAATCATCCGTTCCTTGGAAAAGTGATTTCAGCGCAGCAGACATAGACTTGACATTACACATCATGGCACAATACGCCCACGTTCACACTGATTTAGCTCTCCTCTACAACACAAACCTCATGACAGTATTGTGGAAAAGCCTGCACATCACTACTTCCTGCCATGACACAATCGAGAAAGAAAAAAAAAAAAAAAACTTCTTGGGGAATCTTTTTATAGTTTAGTTTTTACTGGAAAAGAAGAAGAAGGCAGAGGTAATGCCTCTATTCAGCTGGAAGTGGTTGCATGCATTGAATGAAAGTACATAACTGTGCCAAATGTTCGCAATTTAAGCTCAAAGGAATTCCTGTTTAGGTGAACAAACAGTGCACATTATTAGAGGAAAACACACAGGTGGTCTCTTCTTAATGACCGATCACATCTGCTGCTCTCGTCCCCTTTAAAGGAAGCAGACAGTTTATCAGACCAGGAGGAGAGTCCAGTCCAACGTCTCTTCAGCCAAGCACTAACACTGATAGCAGAAATTAAAACACACAGCTAATGTAATGCTTTTGTCAGTCATATGGAGGGATCAGCACTACCTTCAATGTGTTTCTTAACCAGATTCAACATGTTGTGTGGAAACAGGTCTCAATATTGTTTGATCTTAAATTAGTATTGTATCTAAGTTTAAAATTCTGGTATCATGACAATCCTAATTTCTTCAGGTGTCAGATATTTATAAAACCATCCCCGTTCCTTTTTATCTACCCTCCACTGTGTCTTTGTGCTGTCCAAACATTTAAAAGTCTCAGGCTAACAAGTTCATTTTCATGGAAGTTTCAGTTTTAAATGGTGTGCCCATGTCGCTCCTCCTTCACAGCACTACATCCTAACCCTGATGTCGATGGCCGCCCAGCTGTACAAGCACCCGAGCATAAAGAACTCGGTAAACATCGTGTTGGTGAAGCTGCTGGTGGTGGAGGATGAGGAGGTCGGCCCAGAGGTCTCCAGCAACGGAGGTGTGGCTCTGAGGAACTTCTGCTCCTGGCAGCAGCTCTTCAACCCGCCGAGCCAGAGACATCCAGAGCACTATGACACGGCCATGCTCTTCACCAGAGAGGTGAGCGGCAAGAACATACCTGGTGTCTTTACACAGTTAGAGAATGGAGTTCTCTGCAAGAAAACACACCGTCATCTGCATATACTGTTTTAAAGATTTATCAGAATTCAGAGGAAAGATGCTTTTACTTAACCTTTATTTAGCCAGTTTAGTCCCACTGATATCAGAGAGAGAGAGCGAGAGAGAGAGAGAGAGAGATCAATGGATTTGAGCTTGTATAGCGTTTACATTGCAGGTTACACCTCTCCATTCACATCAGTATTAACTAACGCATTCATACACATTCACACACTGCTGACGTTTCAGAGATCCTTCAGATATTTCAGAGATCATTGATGGGTAACCCTCATTTACAATGATATCGAGTCAGTTACAGAAGACATCAAAAGAAACTACAAAGCATTTTTCTTAAACAAGAAGAAGATTATTTAAGGCAATTAAACACATTATGTTGGGAATATCTAAATTTAATCTTAATGCAGGTTAGGGTTTAAGTTGGTGGGCGCAGGTGCATTAACAAATTGACTGGAGTTGTGAGTTTAAAAGTCTAGTATTATAATAACCACTGACTCATGTTTTATATATTTTTTTTCGCTGTT